GGTCAACTCTTCCTCCTTACAGGTTATGATCCGGGGGATAAAGGGTACAACCTTCGTCGGTGATCAGTATCCTTGCGGATTGCAGCACGGGTTGCAAGGACCAGCTGACCTTTACTACAAAAACATATGAGTCTCTTACCAGTAAAGCGGTCCCTGAAGGAAGGGAGGCCTGGTTGGCCTAGGCAGATCTGATATGGATTTTCTACAGCGATTTACGGTATCCACCACACCACCTCCGCCTTCGGGATGAAGTGAATTATGTACTTTTCAATTAAGAACCAGCTATTTCTGAAACTCAATTATTTTTGGAATTGGAACGGTAAGCGTGAGTCAAAAGAAGATCCACGGTTTTTTTTTCTGGAATAAGTTGTCTGAATCGCATACAATCAAAACCCCTGAGATGCGGTCACCAGGCTGCGTCAACGCAAACTGAAATATCCCAGGAGTACCTGTGCCATGTTCAAATGCCACGCCGACACAGTCTTGGGGACAAGAAGTGTGCGAACTGTGAGGTGAGGGGGGGGGAGGAAGGTGGGATTTCTGTAATTTCATGAAATTTTGATGATTAAACTGAAAAAAAAACGCAAATGCTGCTCGGAGCTTCGCGACTTTCTATATCATTGTACTGCAGATATTTTTGCGAGTGCTTACTGCAGATGTAAAGCATTCACTAAAGAGGAAGATACATAGTTCGATTTCCGCTCATCGATTACCACTGCGACCATCTTTACAATAGTCGATTGTTGGTGTATTAAACTTCATTACAATAACAATTTTAATGCGTTCCTTTTTCAGTGCTGGGTTCCTGCACAATTCACCGGAGCGTGGGAGAAGTGAGTTCCGACATATGTGATATTACTTTGTGGAAGCTCCTCCTTCAGCGAATAACGGGATAAATTCATTTCGATTCTTTCAGATATGCAGAGACCTATTGTTTCATCAAAGGATCGTACTTCTTACCGGATGACGAACATCCTAACGAGGATTTCATTGAAAGAGATAACGCTGTAGGTTCTCTTCCCGCATTTATATCCATATATCATAGATTATTGAACATGGAAGTTTCGTTAACTCTCCATGAGAAGTACCAGCTCAACTTTAGGTTATTGGCTACTATCAATGGGTTCCATTAGTGTTAGCGCTCCAAGCGTTTTTGTTCTATGCCCCATGCGTCGTATGGAAAGCTTTAAATTGCTCTACTGGTAAGCTAACATGTGCTTTCGTCTGAGTTCACATGCCCCCAATGTTTACCTGGCCATTTCATTACGTACACCTTACTATTGAGTAACTCTTCAAACCGTTAAGGTATTAATGTAAAAGATGTTCTCGAGAACACTGCCAAAGTGAAGAAAAACGTCACTACAAAAGAGCGGGAAAATCAGGTCAGGATGCCATTAACTGTTAACTAATTAACTGTCATCAGTAAGTACATAGTTGATATTACCAATGGCAATGTCACTGAGGTTGTGAATAGCCATCATGAGGACATGATGATGTGAGTACGTCTAGCCGTTAAAGGCCCGTTAACACCACCGGTGTGCCTTTTAGAGAGTCAACGAACTTGTTTTTTGTGAGGAACATGCATCTATAACTGGAAAATCATTGAATTAACTCAGGTCTTCAAAGCAGCTGTTCATCTAAAAGAGGCTCTGGAATTGCAGAGGGAGCTCAAAGCAGGTTGGCCGTTTCACTAGTATGCTTACTGGATTCTAATCTAATTGCAGCTCAATTATGTATATAAGGAAACTACATAGAATATCTTCTTTGAATTAGCCGTTTATAATCTCCTTCACTTACAAAAAAATGGTGGAAGCACTATCAAGAGCTGGTATGATTGTGAAAAATGCCGAAAATCGGGCTCCTATCTGTCCGCTGTCTATGTCTTCACGAAATTTCTCTATGTATTCAATATTATAGCGCAGGTACACTAAATTCTACCCATTTTTTTCGCACTGAGTAAGTTAATGAGCGCGAGTTGAGATCTTTTGAAACAGTCCTTTGAACTTTCATTCAGTATCAATAGTGAAATTGGTGGCGAGTTGTGGGCCATTAATTACCGAGGGCAGTCGCAACAGGAAAATCTGCCGATCGCCTAGGGATGGAGGGTTTGGTTGAGCGGTAGCTGAAACTTCAACTTTTTTTTCAAGGATTTCTCAATGCTGACAGATATTACTCGAGATTCGAAACGATAGCATTGAGTTACCCTTGGAATAGCTGATCAACGCACCATCAGACTCTCCTGTGACCAGTTTTTAACTTCCTTCCCATGCCCTACCTAGGTGCGAGATTTGAAGGATACTTCCCGAAAGTTTACGAACTATATACGGAGCCCAACAAGTTCTTATCCCATTGAAATGTAGATAGTTCACTGTAGAGAGTTCAAGATTTCAGAGGATAGATAGAAGAATCCATAGAAGACGAATCTCCCTGCTCTTATCCAAGAACTATTTCCAGTTCTGCATTTTCTCCGCTTTCCTTGGAACGAACAAACACGTTCTGGGGTTGGGAAATATTTTCGGACATCTGGAGCGGTCGTGAATGGAATGTTACTGGTCACTTCCCCAGAGTAACTATGTGTGACTTTACGGTATGTTGATGGTTAAGATCTTGTGTATTGTTCAGAACTTGAACAGTATTCTGTTTCAGGTACGAGTTCTTGGTGCCCTTCATCGTTGGACGGTACAGTGCGTGCTGATGATCAACATGTTCACGGAGAAAATCTATGTCTTCCTGTGGTATGTATAAAGCATACTGTACGTAAAAAACATCCGGAACCTTCTCCCAAGCTCCAGCTTTACACGGCTATTCCTTCTTATTTTGTCGATTATGCTCGAATATTGATGACTGTATCGTGACAACTTCTACTAAACCGCAGGTGGATCGAGTTGAGAAGTATTCCTGATCGGCCTGCGAGCCACACTCGGTGGAATCGCTTTGAATGTGCCCAGCAGATTCATATGGTTGGTGTCCTCTTAATGCTGGTACGCTCGTCCTCTACTTTTGTCGGTATCCGGGTCTATTTGGATGAGTTCAACATTCAGCGCTTCACCTTTCCATCCTTACGGAATCTAAAAGCCAAATGAGTTCAGTCGTGTGGCTATCAGCAGAACTGAAGCTACTCATAGCTTCTCCACAGCGACATCAATTCTCAGCGCACCCTCAACAAAGAAACTTTGACGAACTGATGGGCTGTTTCTGTATCTGTTCACCACGTTTTCCCGGCATTTGTACTGGTTTCCTAGCCACAATATTTCCGAATGCCCTTCCACCCATTTTTCCTTAGATACCGTTCTTGAAGGTGCATTTGTTATGAAATGCCTGAGGCAGTGAAGTAAAACAACAAAAAGGTATGCTCCTTCTGAGCTATATGTGGAGAAAGAGTAATAGAAAATTATGAATGCCATAACTAGGCCATCTGAGGCAAGGATATGGATGTCCAAAATCAATCCTTTTTAAGGGCAAAGAAGGTGAGGCATCGAGCCAACAGGGGGTAGAAAGCGAGGGCTGGGACAGCTTCGTGCCGCAAACCCATAATGGCTCCCCCGCGGAGGCTGACATTACGCGAGCTCTAATTGGTTCATTTTGTCATTTGGCCTCTCACAACATGGCACTGACCTTAGTACTCTCTCTGGCTCGTGGACTCACTTTATCAGTAGCTCTCTTACACAACTGAGTATTCACGAAACGTGTATTTGAATTCATGTCAATTTCCGTTTACTTTTAGGTTTTGGTTCATACTAGTTGGTACACTATCTGTAATTTCGCTCATATACTGGGTGGTGGCTTTGGTTGGTACCAATTTCCAACGTGGATTCGTTACAAAGTGAGAATTATTTTTTTGATTTCCGCTTCTTATGGAAAAAAGAATTCAATTCTCATTACATTGAAATATATTGTCATAACCAATATGAAAAAAATCAGGAATGATTTTGAGATTGCCATTGTATTAGTTGCATCGTACGAGCCTCATTTACCCTTTTCCAAAAAAGAATTTGGTCACACCATGTTCATTTCTTCTAGTTTTCTCTACTTCTCTCAGAAAAAAAATTTAGATACCTGAGATGTATGGGAGAGATCAGCGATGAACCTACCCGTGTGGAGGAGGAGAAAGTGAGCGGATTTGTTCGCAATTACCTAACATCCGACGGCGTTTTCTTGCTGCGGCTTATTCAGGTGGAGCTTTTATCCCTTGTCGTCAACATCTATTCTACTTCTAAATCTCTTCAATTGTTGCAGACAAATGGCGGTGATATGCTGGCCGGTGAGATCATCGCCTCGATGTTCCGTCAGTACAATGAACGCCGAAAGGCTCCGATGTCTGACGATTCATTCGGTGACTCGCCAGACACGACGGCCACACTTCCTCGGTAGATTGGTGGCGGGACACGTCCGTGTAGAATTAGATGGCACGCCTCTTTCTGTGCGGCCGTAACGGGACAACTCGTCCAACGAGCTTCCGACTATCTCGTGATTGTATGCTTCCATGTTCACGTACATGTATTTTACTTTGTATACGCCATTCGATTGATACTACTTCACTACATTCCTGTGCTTATAAGAGTTTTGATGGTATATTTGATATTGCCTTTTTTTCTTAATAAAGTTGCTGAAAATTCAACTTTTCTTCAGCGAGTTAGTACAAATGCGATTATACAGCAATATTTATCTCAACGAAAAACAAACGACAATTTGAGCATTATTGTACTAAAACAGTAGTAAAACCGGTACAGCAAGATTGAATGAGGTAAAACCAACTTACTGACTGTTTAACGCATTCTGATGAAAGCCAGTAATGGTTCATTTGCATAAGCTTTTACGATAAACGCAATTACCCTTATGAATGATAAGTACATAGCTCTGCTTACAAAGAAATTCGGTTCACGAGTACGAGTCGGTGCTATCTTCCTCATAGTAGTATGGTGAGTCGCTGTTATCCTCATAGTAGTATGGTAACTCCTCGACATCATCATGAACGTATCGTGGCACCAGGTGACCGTCACTTTCCTCATCATAAATGTATGGTGAGTCGCTGCTATCGTCCTCATAGTAGTATGGTAACTCCTCGACATCATCATGAACGTATCGTGGCCTTAGGTGAGCGTCTCTTTCCTCATCCCAAATGTATGGTGACACGTGCCAAACCTCACTATCCTCATCATCGTCATCATAAACGAATGGTGACACATCCTGAAAGTCGTACGGATACGAATCTTCAGATTCGTCATCTGTTTCCGGAGTTGGCTCTAAGAATCCCCAAGCTAGCCAAAGTGACATATACTGGACCGGTTCCATTCCCATCCCCGTAGAGGGCGGCGAGGTCATGAAAAAGGGCATATCGGTTCGCACTCTCAGTACTGTCGTCCTCGTCGTCTTCAGTATCGACGGGGTTCAAATCGTTGATAAGCATCAGACTCAAGAAGCTATCGGAGTCGCCAAACTCTTCCTGGACGTTAGATTCAATCGCCGCTGTCCCACCGGCATTCTCGGACACAACCAACTGCTTGTTATCATCCTGGTCTTCTTCCCCTTTGTTCACGACCAGAAGAGTATCGACCTTATCGTCGCTCTCCTTCGAATCTCCAGTATTCTCATTGAAAAGCTGCAATGAGCAAGGATCTACTATGAATTGGGTACTTATTCAAAACAGTTACACCTATTTGCTCTATTTTTCGTATACCTTCTATAATCTGTATCTCGGAGATGGAGAAGGCGTTTCGGCGTCTTTACTAGACGTGAGGGACGGCTACGCTTCCAAGGAAGATTTTCATTTCAAGGCAATGGTAGTTACGTCTTTGCTCGGCACAAGACAGAATGCAAGTTGCTTCAGTGGAAATATCCCCAAATAGTAGACGAATTCTACGCCGTTCTCAGATGACGAAGGTGCTACGCCCTTTCCATCTCCGGGATATGGAATGTTCATAGATGCACAAGGAATGAAGACAAGAAACCTAACAAATCCAAACAAGAAGTTACTTCAACTCAAAGTTGTGCTGCGGATCTCTACCCAATTCTGGATACCCTGTTACCTCCTCAATCCTAGGAATCTGATGTAAAAAAACAAACTATACGCTCACTTCTCAGAACGATGCGAGGTGAATGGATCTGCAGCTGCAGTAGCGCGCACTCTTTTTTTCCCCGTTGCGAAGCGCACAGGAACGGAGCTGGAGGGTTGGGATACCCAGGTACCCTCTCCATACTCCGCCTGCGCTATCTTCAAGGTGCAGTGCTGCGTGAACGCGCACTTAGCGGTAGAGAACAACAAGAAGTGAGAGGAGCAGACGAGCAGAGCGGTCAGCTATGGTGAGGCGTGTGATTGGCTGTGCAGCAAAGCGGACCAATTATGAAGAGGACCTCGGTTATCACTGACCTCTAGCTCAGTTC